TTAACATCTTGTCCCATTTAACATTGTCAAAAGCTTTCTCTAAATCTACAAATCCTATGTACGCCCCCTTTCCTTTTTCTATTGTTTTCTCTATTGCTACCCGTAAAGCTAGAATGGCCTCCCGCGTTCCTCTATTTCTTCTAAACCCAAATTGATCTTCCCCTAATAGTTCTTCCGCCCTTTTTAATTTAATTTAATTTTTAATATTTAAATAAATTAAAAGAATTATTTTACCTGATTCGTTTTATCATATTTATCTTCATGCATGTTTACTCTACAAAAAAATTATTGATATGTCAGAGACATATTAGAGACAAAAACAGGAGTGAAGAAGGGCATTGAAAGACTTAGATTAGATAACTGTTTGTAAATAAGCAGTTAGAAGATATGGAATGTTAGTCTAAAAGACGTTTTAATTGTTTAACTAACCCGGTATTTATTTAGTCACTGAGGGATTTTCAGTTCACATTTGTACTAATCAAATGTTTTTCTAATTATTATTATTATGTGTGTAATAAGTACATTTTGTGCAATACAAGAAACCATTTCATCACTTCATAATATGTCCCAGAATTGTTTAAGTAAGTTTATTACAAATATGTATCCAATTCATTATGGTAAATAAAAGTAAAATAGGTATGTTTATATTTGTGTTATATATGCGTTTCTGTATTTACTTAACATAATTTTTTTGTGTACTTGATCAATTAAGCATTTCCAATTACGTTTAATTAGATAGTTATCAAAGACTGTCTACCTGTACCTGATTAAGTCCAGCCACGATGCGAGAACATGATTTTTCAAGTGAACTAAAAAAACGAACCAATCTGATGGCTATAAATAGTTATACTAAAGTTTCTGATTTTTTTTTATAAAAAAAATTATGTTCAGGTATAAGTGCTGTACATTTTATGGCGCGATAAAAAAACATGAAATTAATTATTGTTCATACATGCACTTCAGCAATTTCATCAGTGCTAAGAAAATTATCTAAAAATTGATTGTTCCGATAACGGTCTGTAATAATGATTTTAAAATAAAATTTAGTTTACTAGAATTTCCACTTGAACAATGTCTTTAGATGGTGCGTATCCCAGAAAAAAACAGAAACAATCAAAGACGTAGAGCTTCATCATGTCGTCAGTCCTAAGACTGGTTGGACACGCTCCTCCACTCTTTCCTATCTTGAGATAATCTTCGCATTTCCCTAAAACTGGAACATCCACGTCCTTAACTATTTGTGAACAATAATCTAATCTAAGTCTACCTCTACTCCTTTTAACTCCTGTTTCTGCTTCTAATATACCTGTAGCTACCCCTTCATGCCTTAGGAAGTGTCCTATCAACTTATCTCACCTATTTCTTATTGATTGTTATAAAGTCCTCTGTTCTCCTATTAAACAATAATTATAACGTGTTTAGTACTATTTTCGTAATGTATTAAATGACTACGTTACAAATACTTTATAAAATTATAGCTCATTAACATGAATGTTGTGCGTCTTGGATATGAATATGGAAAAAGAGATTTAATTGAAAGGTATAAATTTATTAAAGCATTTAAAAATATTAACCATAAGTACTTCCACCAATTTTAAAATTACTTTGATGTTGTGAAACGTGTAGCCGACAGGATACCTACGCATACATAACTTATTTAATTGATAATAGAATTCAGTGGAAATGGAGATAAAAGTCAATTAAATTAATAGCGTCTGATAATACAATAGTAATAAACAAATAAGAAGTGAAATTATATTTTATTAATAGGCTGGCCGAATCGTTAGAGACTTACAATAATAATGTATAATACTTTTCGTTCGTAAGTTCCAAAGAAATTGTGTTTTTGGGTTTTTTCAGGATATATTAATCAAATAATCTAGTGCCTATTTTACAAAAACACAAAAAGTTTCAACTTGGAGCAACCACAGCCTGATTTAGTGGATTAAGTCAGATAAAATGGCCACTCTTTAATTGTTTAGGGTTGAAGGGTTCTGAATGTCCGATTGAAAAACTCATACGTCTGTCTATCCGTTTTTGTTTGCTAGGTGATGTTCTCCTTGTTCAAATTGATTCGATGTTTGACTATTTTCCTGATGCCTTCTTAATTAATTAATCTTTTATTATTTTATCCATGTCTTACTAGATTATTTGTGAATTAAATTCTGCTCTGAAAAAAATTGGTAAAAAAATATTAATTTTTGTAATTGATTTAATTCGTCCTCGTATTCTATTCCAATAAGGTACAATGATTTCGGCTTTCTGGATCATTTGTTACATGAGCTCTCGAAATTAATATTCCTTGCTGTTCCTTGATCGTTAACGAACTACCACTGACTTAAATACTCAAATCTCTTTGTATTGATGTATATATAAAATATTCTTAGCAGTACTAAGTAATATTAAGTTTTTTTTTTTTTAATAAATTACTGTAGAAATATTACGTACAATTGTCACGTAAAACTGTGTAGATACGTAAGCCTATCGGAAGTACAACTGCGGCGTCAGATAATAATTAAAGATTAAAAGATTAATTTCTGGAATCAAACAGAACATAAATTGATATAGAATTAAAACAATTAACGAATAACGG